GGTTTAGGGTGTAGGGTTTAGGCAGCACAAAGCTGGTCGTAGCCTTCCGTGACCGCACCGGCACCGCCAGGCTCTTGCCCACCTTCAACGTGACTGCCTGTGTGCGACTGTGATTCTGGGTTTAGGGTTTAGGGTTTGGGGAGAGAGAAGGATGATCAAGCCAGAGAGGGAAATCAAGACGGTTAACACTCTGAAAACTCGAACATGCAACTTCTCAAAAGTCCTTGCGTCCCTTGAGTCATTGACCTTGCTCGTATACACTCCAGAGAGCGGAGGCAAACCATACATAGTTTGGATCCACGCCTGCTGGTTCAGGGTCGCCGAATTCTCCATCAGCGGCTCTGCGATAGGACGGTTGCCCTGCTTGAATGTTCAAGGCACTGAGAAACAAACTGAGAATCCATAGTAGCTGCTTGAAAAAAGTAAAGTAGGGAATACTCAGAATCGTAGCAATAGACTATGTGGAAATGTCCAAATTAAATTGTGGGATGGGACTTACGGTGGAAGCATCCGCGCCTGCATGAAGCTCTGCATTTCGCAGGCCCACCGTGCCCAATGCCTCGTTCGAGTGCTTTGGCTTCTGGGGTTTTACAGTTCAATATGTTGATCAAAGTTGTTGTGCTGTTTCAGAACTGGGCCTGTGCATAGTTTGAGAAGGTTGTATAAAGTGAGGGTGCAGGGAGGAGTCTCTAATCCTAGAATGCCCTAGAAAGCCATTACTAACGCCAAGGATAGGGGCCTTGTTAATCTGAATAAGGCTTTGGCATTTATACATTCAGGACCAACTGGCCTAGCAACATAGGGCCCTCATGCTAGGAATCCCCAGAAGGCATTTGAACCTGAAGACCGTTGAGAATGCATGTCGTCCTTCAGGTAGTTTATACCGTCGCATCATTGTATAAAGGCTATACAGTTGTTACTGTTAGAACGAACTGTTGCCTTACACCTTGGACGAAAACTTGTCTTAGAGTTGAGGGTCTTGCAGCCTACAGTTCTTCCAAAACTAAAGGGCGCAGTACGGCTCAAACCTTACAGAGATTCCCAAACTAATCGATAGAGGATTGAACAATTCGTGATGGCATCCCTCTCAACTCTCGCTGCCCCTGGACAACTCTAACGTATAACATGCCACGAACTCTTCTTCTAACTATTAAGCCGATCTGCGTATTCATTATCATTATCGACACACATACACACAAACACACACACACACACACAGACACAGAGATATATATATATATACACACACACACATAGACACGCTCGAATTGCCTATATAATATACATACGCATACACGTATGTAACGAAAGCTCAAAACTCCGCAAACCTCTTTTACACTGCATGCAACCTGAAAATACTGGAAACCTTCAACAACCTAAGCCGAGCCCCGCAACGCTGCATGCCAGGCTAACAAAGCCAGTAATTACAACCCCTCAAAAGCCTAAACCTTGTGCCCAGACCCTCAACCCTGAATTCTGCACCCTACCTGAACCCCCAAAACTACAGGTAAAATAATCGCCCAAAACCTCTTTCAAGGCTATTATTCTATATACTTTTGGGGTCCAGGTAACCCAAAGCCCCTGCCTAAACCAAGGCCAAGAAGCGCGGCTTGCAGGGCTCCGCACTGAGACGGGACTGGCTGTCTCGGTGCCCTCCGAGCTGCCATCGCTGGAGTCTCCGAGGTGCTCTGGGATGGGCAGCGTCAATGATACCTCTTAGGGGTTTAGGGCTCCAGGCTTTGGACTTTTTAGGGTCTAGGGCTAGGGCTTCAGGCTTTGGCCTTTTTGGGGTTTGGGGCTTGAGGCTTTGGGGGTTTCAGGTTTCAGGGCCGAGGGCTTAATTTTGAGGCTCAGGGCTTTAGGCCTTAAGCCTTGGGGGCTTTAGGACTCCTAGGGGTTTAGGGCTTCAGAGGCCTATCCCAAAAAGTGGCCCACCGACCCCGAGGCTCCGTCAGCTCAGAGATACCAGAACGGTTTAGGGTTTGGGGGCTTTAGGGTTTTAGGGTTTAGGGTTTAGGGTTTAGGGTTTTACGGCTTTAGGGTTTTAGGGTTTAGGGCTTCTCAAAGGCCCCGGGACCCCCAATTGCGTCAGGAATGATTGAACCTTGACCTATCGACGCATCCTTAGATTAAGGATGTTTAAGGCATGTATTCCTTACCTTACAGGTTTGGCAGTCTCCGGACACCTTTGCGCTTAAGGGTGTCTAGGTTTCGGGCGTTTTTGGGGTTTGCAGAGCCATAGGTAGGGTTTGAGGGCTTTGAGGCCGACAGGGCTTCTAGAGGTTACCGGTGCCGACAAAAGAAAGGGGCATGTAAGGTCTTCCTAAAAGAGGCCAGCAGCCTGAGCTTGTGATACGTCAGGAATATTCTGCTACAGCTGTGTATTTCAAGTATGCAAGGACGATCCGAACCTTGGTAACAATTGAAGACCTATCTGAGGGGCACGAACAAGGCCTGGGGAACGTAGGCTAGCAGCTTACTTGCAGGTCGTTGTGCAGTGTTGTCAGTCCGTGCTTGAGCGAGACAGCTTTCAGGAATAGCAACATAAGAACAAAAACGAGCACATGAGTTCAAGTTCCCCTCAACAAACACCTTGCCGCCCGCCTGCGGGACGGTCTGATGCTCAGCCTTCTCAAGGCGAATCGCGATGCCTCCCGGGCAACCTGTCTCATCTGTGCTCGTCGCCACAAGTTCACCAGGAACTCTCGCTGTGCCGCCACTCCATGATCTATCTCCTCCTGCACTTGTCACCGACGATGATTTCGACGATGACGGACACCAAGAAGTCGATCGCTGTGCATCCCCCTCACTCACAGCGCAAGCCTCCGCAGCAAGCCCGGATTGCAACAGGCCAGAAGAGCCCTTCGAACCGCCAGCAGCACCTCCGGCATAGAGTGTCTCTGCGACTTGGCGGTCGTCGCCGTCTGGGTCCGTGCGGGCCCTGCCGGGCTCTGCTGCCTCCGGCACCTGCCCAACATGCGCGTCGCCGTCTTCAGGGCGACTTCCTGCGGTTGACCAGCCAGGGAAACGGTCAAAAACAAGAGTTGCCGACAGTATGGGTTTTGTGGGGCGCCCAGGCCCATCATGCGAGCTTCCAATGTTCGCAGTCTGAGTCTCTCTTTACAAAATTACTTGAACTGGACCACCCTACACCAAAACCCAGTACAGTTCTTTCAGAATCACGTACTTAATGCTCTAGAGGGACCATGAGAAAAGTTGCCCACATCCCAGAATTCTCTCCTGTTCTGCGTGGGACGGGGTGAACATTGCCGGCATTCCCCTCTCCATGAAGCTCTGCATTTCTTGTGCCCACTGCACCCATTGCCTCTGTAAAGGGCTCCTGGCACGAATCAAAAGCATGTCCTACATCCACCTTCATGAAACCAAAAAAGCACTCAGATATACTAGACTCGGGAGGTGCAGATTTTCCTGGCACCCTGCCTCATTGCAGGCCGATGTGGCATTGTGCGGCTGAGCTATCCGCGAACTCTGGCTCACGCCGCTTGCTGCCGTGGCCGCTGAGCAGCTTCCTCGAGGGCTTCGTGCAGAAGTCTCATCAGGAACTCTCGCTGTGCCGCCACTCCAAGATCTATCTCCTCCTGCACCTGTTACCGACGATGATTTCGACGATGACGGACACCAAGAAGTCGATCGCTGTGCATCCCCCTCACTCACAGCGCAAGCCTCCGCAGCAAGCCCGGAATGCAAAAGGCCAGGAGAGCCCTTCGAATCGCCAGCAGCACTGCCGGCACATAGTGTCTCTGCGACTTGGCGGTCATCGCCGTCTGGGAGCTCCGCGCAGGCCCTGCCGGGCTTTTGCGAAAAGGCTGCTGCCTCCGGCACCTGCCCAACGTGCACGTCACCGTCTTCGGGGCGACTTCCTGGCGGTTGACCAGCCAAAGAAACGCTTAAAACAAGAGTGGGGTTCTGAATTCACCAGGGTCGAAATGCGACCAATCAATTTTCACAGTCTGAATCTCTCTACATCATGCACGAAGCTCGGCAACCTCATAAATCTTACAAGCCATAAAGGCCTCATTAAAACCACTATAAGAACCGTGCAGTCCAAAAGCAAGCATCCAGTGCTCATACTGGCTGATCAGGGCCCGTGGTTTACAAGTACCTTGAACTGGACCAGCCCACACCCCAACCCAGTTCTTGTAGGGTCCAAGAGACCAGACTCCCTAGATGTGTTAGACATAGAAGGGCCCTGAGAAAAGTTGCCCACATCCCAGAATTCTCTCCTGTTCTCCGTCGGACGGGGTGAACAATGCCGGCATCCCCCTCTCCATGAAGCTCTGCATTTCTTTGGCCCACTGCGCCCATTGCCTCTGTGAAGGGCTCCTGGCACGAATCAAAAGCACGCCCATACCCCTTCATGAAACAAAAAAGCATTCGGATATACGCAAGTCAAGTGTTAGACTCGGGAGGTGCAGATTTCCCTGGCACCCTGCCTCATTGCAGGCCGATGTGGCATTGCGCGGCTGAGCTATCCGCGAACTCTGGCTCGCGCCGCTTGCTGCCGTGGCCGCTAGGCAGTTTCCTCGAGCGCTTCGTGCAGAAGTCTCGCCAGGAACTCTCGCTGCGCCGCCACTCCAAGATCTATCTCCTCCTGCACCTGTCACCGACGATGATTTCGACGATGACGGACACCAAGAAGTCGATCGCTGTGCATCCCCCTCACTCACAGCGCAAGCCTCCGCAGCAAGCCCGGATTGCAAAGGGCCAGAAGAGCCCTTCGAACCGCCAGCACCTCCGGCACAGAGTGTCTCGGCGACTTGGCGGTCGTCGCCGTCTGGGAGGTCCGTGCAGGCCCTGCCGGGCTTTTGCGAAAAGGCTGCTGCCTCCGGCACCTGCCCAACATGCGCGTCACCGTCTTCAGAGCGACTTCCTGCGGTTGACGAGCCAAAGAAACGCTTAAAAACAAGAAGTGCCGACAGTATAGGTTTTGTGGGGCGCCCAGGCCCATCATGCGAGCTCCCAATGTCCGCAGTCTGAGTCTGAGTCTCTCTTTACGAATAACTTGAACTGGACCACCCTACACCAAAACCCAGTACAGTTCTTTCAGAACCCGATACTTAATGCTCTAGAGGGACCATGAGAAAAGTTGCCCACATCCCAGAATTCTCTCCTGTTCTCCGTGGGACGGGGTGAACATTGCCGGCAGTCCCCTCTCCATGAAGCTCTGCATTTCTTGTGCCAACTGCACCCATTGCCTTTGTGAAGGGCTCCTGGCACGAATCAACAGCATGTCCTACATCCACCTTCATGAAACCAAAAACGCACTCAGATATACTAGACTCGGGAGGTGCAGATTTTCCTGGCACCCTGCCTCATTGCAGGCCGATGTGGCATTGTGCGGCTGAGCTGTCCGCGAACTCTGGCTCGCGCCGCTTGCTGCCGTGGCCGCTAAGCAGCTTCCTCGAGCGCTTCGTGCAGAAGTCTCACCAGGAACTCTCGCTGCGCCGCCACTCCAAGATCTATCTCCTCCTGCACCTGTCACCGACGATGATTTCGACGATGACGGACACCAAGAAGTCGATCGCTGTGCATCCCCCTCACTCACAGCGCAAGCCTCCGCAGCAAGCCCGGATCGCAAAAGGCCAGAAGAGCCCTTCGAACCGCCAGCACCTCCGGCACAGAGTGTCTCGGCGACTTGGCGGTCGTCGCCGTCTGGGTCCGTGCGGGCCCTGCCGGGCTTTTGCGAACAGGCTGCTGCCTCCGGCACCTGCCCAACGTGCGCGTCACCGTCTTCGGGGCGACTTCCTGCGGTTGACCAGCCAGGGAAACGGTCAAAACAAAAGTGCGGTTCTGAATTCACCAGGCTCGAAATGTTAATGTGACCTTTCAACGTTCACAGTCTGAATCTCTCTACATTCGTGCCACAGAAGCTGCTCAGGCAAACCTTCCATGCTAGTTTGGATCCCACTGTCATGTGGCTCAGGGCCACGAAGCTCGGCAACCTCATAAACCTTACAAGCCATAAAGGCCTCATTAAAACCATCGTGAGGTCCGAAAGCAAGCATCCAGTGCTCATACTGGCTGATCAGGGCTCTGATCAGCGCTCTGATCAGGGCCCGTGGTTTACAAGTACCTTGAACTGGACCAACCCAAACCCAGTTCTTGTAGGGTCCAAGAGGCCAGACCCGCTAGATGTGTTGGACATAGAGGGACCCTGAGAAAAGTTGCCCACAGAATTCTCTCCTGTTCTCCGTGGGACGGGGTGAACATTGCAGGCATTCCCCTCTCCATGAAGCTCTGCATTTCTTTGGCCCACTGCGCCCATTGCCTCTGTGAAGAGCTCCTGGAAAGAATCAAAAGCATGTCCTACATCCACCTTCATGAAACCAAAAAAGCACTCAGATATACATATATATATATACAAGTCAAGTGATAGACTCGGGAGGTGCAGATTTCCCTGTCCCCTGCCTCGTTGCAGGCCGATGTGGCACTTTGGGCCTGAGCCCTCCGCGAACTCTGGCTCCAACCGCTTGCTGCCGTGTCCTCACCAAGCGCTCTCTTTGTGCCGCCGCTCCATGGCCTATCTCCTTCGGCATCTCTTGGCGACGACACTTCGGAAGAAGCCAGACCCGAGGAACTGGATTGCTGTGCAATCCCCTCTGCAGCAACTCCGGGTTGCCAAGGTCTCTCCAACCCCTGCGAACTCACAGTCACTGCTCCGGCGCAGAGATGGTCGTAGCCTTCCGGGACGACCCTGTCCGCCCTTCCAGGCTCTTGTGAAGGGACAAGTGCCTCCCCCACTGGCCCACCATGCAAGTCACAGGCTTCCATGGGGCTTCCTGGCCCAAAATGCTCGTACAAAGGCCACAGGCCGTAGCCCCCTCTACCCTGAACCCATATAGCCGTAAAAGCTCCTCCAAAACGCAACTACATCCCCAAACCTCAGCCCTGAAGATATGGAAACAATCGTTTCTTCACAAACCTCGTCCTGCACCATGGCGTGCTCGATGAGCCGATCCTGCCGGCAAGGACGTACGGCAATGCATACGGGCATAGCACAGGCTCCTCAATCAAGAGTTGTCACCTAAGCATGCTGTTTGCTTGGACCCACGTCTCCTGAAACACTGTTCTAGGGTGTACGGTCCAGGTCTGACAAGTCAACAGGACTAGGTTCAGTACCTGCGGTGTCAATAGCCGCTGGACATCATGCGGTGCTTGTCAATGGAGGCAACTTTTGCGGTGTCTCTGTCAGAATCAGTTCATGTTAGAGTAGGCATTTTGTTAGAATGAACCAGACCACAGGAAATTATCCTAAACCCTATATAGCCTATATTATATAGCCCTTAGCCCTAAACCCACATCAGGACTCCTGCTTGAATTCCACGACTTTCCGGGTTCTCTGACCACGGAACTCCTACCTCAGCTGTAGATATGCTTTGCGTAACGTAGGAGCCTTAATAATTAGAATAGGGTTTTGGGGCCCATTACACTAAGCTTATAGTAAGGAACCCCTAAAAATTGGTATTGGTATGTCTTGGTAATTGTTTTATTAGGCTCCCACATTAGAGGGTTTGCAATTGAGTTTCCCGGCCCCTTCACTAAAAGGCTCAAGGAGCCTTCAGGAGTAAGGCTCTTGGTCTATCTAAGATTCGAAGGATTGGGTTTAGGATTTCGGTTTTAGGGTTCAGGGTTTAGGTTTAGGGTTTCGGGTTTAGGTCTTAGGGTTTAGAGTTTAGGGTTTAGGTTTTAGGGTTGAGAGGGGCTGTCTAAGAAGGATTGGGGTGTAATAGGGGGTGAGGTCTCGGACTTACTCAAGTTTTCGGTTTTGGATGCAGGATTGAGGGTACAGTTCAGGATCTATAGGGCTCACTACAGCTGCCAGTTGCTGTCGGATGATGCTTATGTACTTGAGGGCTCGCTGTCACGTAAAGGTGCGTGCTAGCGCAAACTATCCTACAGCCTAGCAAGACCTGCAAACAAAATCTCTAGGAGAGGTTACAGTTCGTTACAATCAAGACCTACAAACAAGTAGGTTCTGGCAGGTTAAGGTACAGACAGGTATAGTATACCGGAACGAACACGATTGCAGGGTTTGGGGATGCAGCAGACCTCCGCACGGCACCCTCATGCGAACCGTAAACCCGCAACCCTGAACCCTAAACCCCTAAACCCAAAACCCAAAAACCCTAAACCCAAAACCCAAAACCCCTAAACCCTAACCCCTAAACTTAAACCCTAAACCCTATTCCGCAATTACAGGACTTCCTGAAAACCTCCGACTTCTCTAAACATTCGAATCTTAAGGTATAGGGCTTAGGGTTTAGGGTTTAGGGCTTAGGGTTTAGGTGAATTTCAAGCCCCCAAACCGCGACAAGTCGTGATCTCAGGGTCTGAAATAAGAGTGTGAACAAGCAGAACCGCGATTCCCATACAGCACCGGGCGACAGTAGACGCATGTAGACACTCTACTAGAAGTACCCTGTACCCTATTTGCTTGTTCGTTGACCCTATCCCTAAACCCTAAATTAGGGGGCTTTGTCATCCTTCTTCGCACATGGTTGAAGGGGGTGTGGCCGACTACCAGGCTGTAGCTGTCTGAAACAGGGGGCTTAAACGACTATAGGTGTTTCGGTTTTTGGACGGGGACGGGGGTATAGTTTATCCCTGAGCGAGGCTCAACATAACCCAAAAGCCTTATGCACTATGGTCTTTGGGCCCAAACTCCTTAATGTATGAGTCCTTCGAACCTTATAGGGCATGATAACAGTGGAACCGCATAATTAGGGACCATCAAGGGAGATGAGAAAATTATCGTCAATTAATGTTCAGACCTCGGAAGACCCCAAACCCCAAACCCTAAACCCTAAACTCTAAAACCCTAAACCAGGTAGTGAGGTATTGTGGTGTGGGGACATTTGGGTTTCTGTGGTGTGCCAGGAGCGCCTCAGGAGTTCGCCATATAAGTATCCTTTAAGTCGGGTTTCGGGGTCCGTATTGTTGCGAGCTTGAAGCTTCTGGGGTTCCGAGTCTAAACATATATGTGTATACACACACACATATATATATAATATGTATACATATGTGTACACGTATATACACACATGATTACATATATATATATACATATATATATATACATGCACATATATGATATGTATGGGGCTGTCCAATGAGCATAGCGGCCCCGCGCTCAACCAGCAGCTCGGGTGGCTTGCTCTTGACCGGGAGGGTAGCTTCGCCTGGAACGGTAACTATGGGATCCTCTCGACCTTAGACCCTGAACCCTAAACCTCCAAACCCTGAACTGGAACGACAATTATGGGATCCTCTAGACTCTTTAAACCCTAAACCCTAAACCCGGGTTCAGGGCTTAATTGGGGCCTTGGGGTGTAATCGGGCTTAATTAGTCCCGTCTTCAAGGATCTGAGAATGTCCTGAAGCGACTTAGGGTAGGGCTTAGCTTCGGCATGTTTAGGGTTGAGGGCCCTTCTTCAAGGATCCGATAATATGATGAAGCACCCCCTGGCCATCCTGACTCTCCACTTACATGTAGGATGAAAATCGCTGCGCAAGTCCGGGTTATAAGCCGCAAACCTCGATGCATTGTTGGTTTAGCTGCTTTCAGGTAGAAACCACCAGATTTCATATCTTGCAGGCGCTTAACCAACCTTGTCCTCGCAGACTTCGACAGCTGAAGATACAAAAACAACAATATGCCCAGTTGGAGATACTTCGAGTTCAAACGGAAATTCCAGTCTACAGCTCATAATGACGCTTGTTGCGTACATCAGATGCAGGGCGGCATCCATCACGAACCCACTAATCTCCGTTGTGGAAACCGCACTGTACACTCTATCCCTAATGGCTCAAAAAATGGCTCAACGGCCAGGACCCGTGACTTGCATGCGTATAGGCGCTAGGTATTCAGTCTAGTACGTTCGTAGATTTCTGTGGCAGGGGGGAGGTTGGCTACTTTGCTTCTCGACTTGTCATGCCTCACATTGAACCCGGAAAGCATACAAGCGTGATGAAACTGGGTTCTTGGCAAGTCTCATAGTCATTGCAATAACATGGGCTTCTTTATATCACCCCTTCAGGTCCTAAAGCCTAACCCTTAGCATCAAAATAGCCCAAAAGGCTTACATAGTAGGGCCTACGGGCCCAAAAGCCTTAAAATATGAGTCCTCTGAGGGTAAGGGTAAAGAGAAACGAGAGGATAACCCCTAAACCCTAAACCCCTAAACCCTAAACCCCTAAACCCCTAAAAGCTGTGCGCAACCGCCTTCCAGAAGGAGGAACAGCCACGCAGCGAGCACTTGCCGCGCCGCCTGCCCAAAAGGCGTCTGCGGATCGTGACCCCCACCTAAAACCCCCAAAAGTATGTAGAATAATAGCCCTTTACAGGTTTTGGGCCATTATTTTACCTACTTTTTGGGGGTTTAGGTAAGCCCAAGGCTTTTGGGTTAGGCATTTAAGGCCTAGGGTTTTCGCGGTTTAGGGTTTAGGGCCTAGGGTTTTGGTGCTCATACCTTGAACCCAAAACCCGTCGAAATCTGCCCACCTGTATCCGTCTCTGGTGGAGCTCCCGCAACCTGAGACCGAGAGAAGTAAAGCTTGGTGTAGGGCTTCGGGGTCTCCAGGACCCTAGAGGCGTATGGCAATGCAGGGGCCTTCACAATTAGAATAGTCTTGTGGGGTACTTTATGCTATCATTATAATTTTAATTATAAGAAGGAACCCCCCCCCCGAAATAGTATTGGTAATTATTTAGACCCCATATTAGTTATTTAGGGTCTATCAGAGGTAGGAGGGTCTGTTTAGGGTCTTTGGGCTCTGCGGTCTTTTCCTGTATAACTAATCCAACTAATCCAACAAGGCTAATCCTATGGCCCTGACTTCGAATTATGACCCCCGAGAGAGCCTGTGACATGCACCAGCTGGACTTCTACGGACACCGAAATGAATGATAAGAGCCCGTCGCCATCACATTTCCCTAAACCCTAAAACCTAAACCCAAAACCCAACTAAATCCCAGAGGCATTGGCGGGAAGTGAACAGGGTCCATGCCCAGCCGCGGCAGCAGCACGGAAAGCAAGGCCTTTCATCGGCCCTCTCCCCTCAACGTTTGCCCCCCCCAAGTCATCTTATCTGGGTTCTCGTTAGGGGATCTTAGCTAAGTTGCCATAATGAAGAAACCATATTATTTACTATAGATCCCCATTATGGTAACTCAAGTAAAATCCCCTAACATGAACCCAGTCTTGAGTACTTCAAAAAGACACAGTGATACAGCAGCTGACACAAGCATGTCATGACGTGCTCACGCCTCTCGCAGTCGTGCCGCGCGCCGCGGCGACTGTTCGGCCAAGCGACGGAGGTCGCAAAGATCCATGGCTAAATCGGGTTTGGAATTTCGCTTAACCCTAAACCCCAAACCCTAAACCCTAACCCGAAACCCTATACCCTAACCCCTAACCCGAAACCCTATAAACCCTAAATAGGGTGTACGGTAAGGCCTCGGGGTCTCAGGTTTCGGTTGTGGGCTGAGGCTCGGACCTCCACAGACTTGTCTCAGCGCTGCTTCTCTGAAATAGGGTTTGGGGTTAGGGTTTCGGATTTAGGGTTTTAGAGTTTAGGGTTTTAGGGCTTTAGGGTTTTAGGGTTCTAGGGTTTAGGGTTTTTGAGTTTAGGGTTTTAGGGTTTAGAGTTTTAGGGTTTAGCGTTTAGGAAACTCCTTCATTTGGAGGCGGCTGGAGGTCCCAGAATTTGGGGATTTTTGGGTTTCGCGCTCAGCTTTGTTCGGCTGCTCGTATGGTTTGGACAGATGAACA